TTCGTAGCTGTGGGTAAAGGTAACGACAATGTGGGTATTATAAAGTAACCTGGTCTCACTACAGTAACCTGGTCTCACTACAGTAACCTGGTCTCACTACAGTAACCTCAAGTCTCACTACAGTAACCTCAAGTCTCACTACAGTAACCTGGTCTCACTACAGTAACCTCAAGTCTCACTACAGTAACCTCAAGTCTCACTACAGTAACCTCAAGTCTCACTACAGTAAGCTGGTCTCACTACAGTAATCTGGTCTCACTACAGTAACCTGGTCTCACTACAGTAACCTCAAGTCTCACTACAGTAACCTGGTCTCACTACAGTAACCTCAAGTCTCACTACAGTAACCTCAAGTCTCACTACAGTAACCTGGTCTCACTACAGTAACCTGGTCTCACTACAGTAACCTCATGTCTCACTACAGTAACCTCAAGTCTCACTACAGTAACCTCAAGTCTCACTACAGTAAGCTGGTCTCACTACAGTAATCTGGTCTCACTACAGTAACCTGGTCTCACTACAGTAACCTCAAGTCTCACTACAGTAACCTGGTCTCACTACAGTAACCTCAAGTCTCACTACAGTAACCTCAAGTCTCACTACAGTAACCTGGTCTCACTACAGTAACCTGGTCTCACTACAGTAACCTCAAGTCTCACTACAGTAACCTCAAGTCTCACTACAGTAACCTCAAGTCTCACTACAGTAACCTGGTCTCACTACAGTAACCTGGTCTCACTACAGTAACCTCAAGTCTCACTACAGTAACCTCAAGTCTCACTACAGTAACCTCAAGTCTCACTACAGTAAGCTGGTCTCACTACAGTAATCTGGTCTCACTACAGTAACCTGGTCTCACTACAGTAACCTCAAGTCTCACTACAGTAACCTGGTCTCACTACAGTAACCTCAAGTCTCACTACAGTAACCTCAAGTCTCACTACAGTAACCTGGTCTCACTACAGTAACCTGGTCTCACTACAGTAACCTCAAGTCTCACTACAGTAACCTCAAGTCTCACTACAGTAACCTCAAGTCTCACTACAGTAACCTGGTCTCACTACAGTAACCTGGTCTCACTACAGTAACCTCAAGTCTCACTACAGTAACCTCAAGTCTCACTACAGTAACCTCAAGTCTCACTACAGTAAGCTGGTCTCACTACAGTAATCTGGTCTCACTACAGTAACCTGGTCTCACTACAGTAACCTCAAGTCTCACTACAGTAACCTGGTCTCACTACAGTAACCTCAAGTCTCACTACAGTAACCTCAAGTCTCACTACAGTAACCTGGTCTCACTACAGTAACCTGGTCTCACTACAGTAACCTCAAGTCTCACTACAGTAACCTGAAGTCTCACTACAGTAACCTGGTCTCACTACAGTAACCTGGTCTCACTACAGTACCTGGTCTCACTACAGTAACCTGGTCTCACTACAGTAACCTGGTCTCACTACAGTAATCTGGTCTCACTACAGTAACCTCAAGTCTCACTACAGTAACCTGGTCTCACTACAGTAACCTCAAGTCTCACTACAGTAGCCTCAAGTCTCACTACAGTAACCTCAAGTCTCACTACAGTAACCTGATCTCACTACAGTAACCTCAAGTCTCACTACAGTAACCTCAAGTCTCACTACAGTAACCTCAAGTCTCACTACAGTAACCTCAAGTCTCACTACAGTAACCTCAAGTCTCACTACAGTAACCTCAAGTCTCACTACAGTAACCTCAAGTCTCACTACAGTAACCTGGTCTGACTACAGTAACCTGATCTAACTACATTAACCTGGTCTCACTACAGTAACCTCAAGTCTCACTACAGTAACCTCAAGTCTCACTACAGTAACCTCAAGTCTCACTACAGTAACCTCAAGTCTCACTACAGTAACCTGGTCTGACTACAGTAACCTGATCTAACTACAGTAACCTGGTCTCACTACAGTAACCTGGTCTCACTACAGTAACCTGGTCTTACTACAGTAACCTGATCTAACTACAGTAACCTATGTCTACTAATGTAGGTTCCGATTTCATTTGCCCTAAGTTCTTAATAAATATAACTAAGAACGCTAACTGCGTTAAATTTGAAACGGAAACCTAAAATCTATTAGCCTCCCCTGGCAGCATTCAAAACATTTTCCCCCGCTCCTTTTAACCTTCTTTTCGTACCTCGAATTTGAAAATCTTTCCTACATAGAAAAAAAAAAAGCTAACAAGGTAGATTCTGTTAGCAGTGTGTAGCAGCAAGTAGAAGCCTATATATTGTGTACAGCAATTTCCGCTTATTTAGCAAAATAACAACGTGTTACAAACTTAGGTCAGCATGCTACCGTACATAAAAGTATGGATTTAGTTTGATTTAATCCCACATTGTAGGCTGTAGTAATCCCTTACAAGACAGCGACCTGTTCTATAGCCACCCCCCCCTCTCATCTGAGACACTCATTTTACATATCTCTCTAACATCGTGTGTTTTAAATTGCCAGTCAATTAATTTATAATTTCCTAAATTTGCTCAATATGTACACAATAGTATAAAAGTATTTCATCTTGTGAATTAATATAATATATTAATACGAATATAATAATATAATATATTATTACCAATATCTGGTTTCTAATAGAACTTTTTTTCTGACTAATTAAATCATATTTCATTTAAATATTCACAATTTGAGTGAAATGCTGACACATAGGGTCTACACATTTATTTAGTGAATTACCTTCTGTGTTATAAAACACACACACTTAACACACACTCAGCTTTCTTGTAAATTGTTTCCCTTTTGTTTGCGCTTAACAGTAGGTGTTAGTGCCCTTGTTTTTTACAAGTTTTTATTCAAGGTAAGATTTCTAGAAATATTACAGTAACACTCAGACTTATTATCAAAACACTGAAACTATAAAAAATGGTAGTAAACACGAAACATCTAAACATCAACATACGAACAAATTAACTTACCAACATGTGAAACATACATATAACAAGTACTTACATACAGAAGCTCATCTAAACATCGACGCTACAATACATGTAAGCATCGCCTACCATTGCATAAATACCACCAATCATTACATAAAATTGCCCACCAAATACACAAACACTACCCACCAATACAAAAACTGCGTCCACCAATACAAAACACCACCCACTGATACACAAACACCACTCACCAACACAGAAAAAACGCCCACCAATACATAAACACCGCCTACAAATACACAAACACCACCAATACAGACACACCACCCACCAATACATAAACTGCGTCCTCCAACACAGAAACACCACATCAATACATAAACACCGCCCACCAGTACACACACACCGCCCACCATTAAACAAACCACGCCTATCAAAAGACAAACACCGCCCATCAATACATAAACACCGCCTACCAGTACACACAAACACACACCGCCCACCATTAAACAAACCATGCTCACATACACATCAACACATCAACACATCAACACATCAACACATCAACACATCAACACACACAGCCTGCTCTTATTTCTAGCAGTAATGAGCACACGGCGGCCATGTTTGTGCACATGTGTGTACCTGTGCTGTAATCTCCTCCAGATTTCTGCAACTCTGCAACAGTCGGCACCAGCCGATAAACAAAACGTGACCACTTATACGAGAACATCCAGCCCCTTTTTGCCGGCTCATCCCCTTTTAAAATACTAAAAGTTAAGCTATGTATTAAAATTATTTAACAAAAACACCCGATTAAAATTTAAAATTAATCCCCTTAAACTAAGAAAAAAAATATTTTCAAATGAAAAAGCGTAATGCTAATTTGGTTGATCACCCTCCCGTTGCTGTGGTTCACTGTTTAGCTGCCCCCCCCCCCCACACACACACACTCCACTCCTTTCTCTAGGCACAAACTCAAAAATTATTTAAGCCAAGACTTCCATCTACCTGTAAAAAAGGTCCATATTCACTTACACCCACTTACCCCTAAGCAAAGGTCCCAATTCCCTAATACACCCACCTACCTATAAAAAATGTCCCAACTCCCTTACTCCCACCTACCTGTAAAAAGGTCCCAATTTCCTTGTACGCCCACCAACCCTTAAACAAAGGTCCCGATTCCCTAACACACCCACCTACCCATAAAAAAGGTCCCAATGCCCTAGTATACTCACCTACCTGTAAAAACCAAAGGTCCCAATTTCCTAGTATGCCCATCTACCTTTAAACAAAGGTCCCGATTCTCTAATACACCCACCTACCCATAAACAAAGGTCCCAATTCCCTAATACATTCACCTACTATAAACAAAGGTCCCAAATACCTAATACACCCACCTACCCGTAAACAAAGGACCCAATTCCCTAACACAGCCATCTACTAGTAAACATAGATCCCAATTCCCTAATACATCCACCTACCCATAAACATAGGACCCAATTCCCTAATACACCCACCTACCCATAAACAAAGATCCCAATTCCCTAGTACATCCACCTACCCATAAACAAAGGTCCCAATTCCCTAACACACCCACCTACCCATAAACATAGGTCCCAATTCCCTAAAACATCCACCTACCTGTAAACAAAGGTCCCAATTCCCTAATACACCCACCTACCCGCTACCTACACACAGCCTATACACGCCTAGCTGTGTTTATCCGTACCTTCATTAAACGAGCCAGTACCATCACCAGCTGAGCACTACAAACACACACACTCCTTTCTTTCTTAGCTCACATTGTCTTAGCTAGAAACTCGAGACAGCTTTATCTCACATAAACATTTTACTGCGCAAACTAGACGTAAGTAGAGAATTATATATTTGGTTGTATAACATAAAAATTTTACTGCGATAACTAGACGTAAGTAGAGAATTATATATTTGGTTGTATAACATTAACATTTTACTGTGATAACTAGACGTAAGTAAAGAATTATATATTTGGTTGTATAACATAAACATTTCACTTAAAATACTAGACGTAAGAAGAGAATTTTATATTTGGTTTTATAACATAAACATTTCACTTAAAATACTAGACGTAAGTAGAGAATTATATATTTGGTTGTATAACATAAACATTTTACTGTGATAACTAGACGTAAGTAGAGAATTTTCTATTTAGTTGCAAAAAAAAATAATAATGTTTAATAATGTAATTATTTATATTGAGTTAAATATAAACCGTATTGCTAGTATTTTATAGTTTATTATATTATGTAATTTGTTATTTAAAAAGTCGTTTTCAAAAGTACAAATATTTTAGTCAGATTATAGCTAGAGAAAATACTTCCAAATATTAAGGGGTATTTTTAAATGTAAAAATGTTCCTTGTCTATCGTCCACACATGACATGCAAGGAGGTTGAGTGAAAGTTAGTAAAAAAAAATAACTTTGTTGGAATGTAGGTTGTAAAAAAACATAGTAGGGTAATTATATGCCGTGTGTTAGCTTAGTTTTTGCGTTGGGTAAAAGAATAGCAGCACTGTATCAGTTAAAGCATTAGAATACGGTGCAAACTTATGAGCAACAGTAACAGCTCACCTTTTGGTCAACGCCCTTGTTTTACCTGCACGTGCAAGGTGAGTCAGTGGCTGTACTGGAACTTTTGTTCTGGTAACGGATATGGCCAGGTGTCAAAGATTCAAACACTGTGGTAAACGTTACAGACGTCTATGGTCCACACTACATACGTCTGATGTACACACTACACACGTCTAATGTACACACTATACACTGCACACGTCTATGGAACACACTACACACGTCTATGGTACACACTGCACACGTCTATTGTACACATTATACACGTCTATGGAACACACTACACACGTCTATGGTACACACTGCACACGTCTATTGTACACATTATACACGTCTATGGAACACACTACACACGTCTATGGTACACACTGCACACGTCTATTGTACACATTATACGTCTATGGAACACACTACACACGTCTATGGTACACACTGCACACGACTAATGTACACACTATACACGTCTAATGTACACACTACACATTACACACGTCTATGGTACACACTGCACGCGTCTATGGTACACGTTACAGACGTTTATGGTACACACTGCACGCGTCTATGGTACACACTACACACTTCTAATGTACACACTACACACGTCTAATGTACACACTACACACTGCGCAAGTCTAATGTACAAACGACACACTGCACACGTCTATGGTACACACTACACACTTCTAATGTACTACACATTTTACACCACACCCACGTCATATCCACACAAAGTGGTTCACACGCCTAATTAATTACTTGCACACATATCTTTCTATTTAATTCCATGCGCGTGCTAACAATTTAGGCTCAGAAAACACGTTTATTTATAGAATTCTAGGTCTTTAAAGAACATACTCTCTTTAGAATCAACTTCTTGATTTATCTTGTATTTTATACAACAGCAACTAACCAAAGAAATCAATGAAATTCACGTCATCATTCGTTATAATCTACCACTCCACTTTTGTCTGAAACAATTTACTTTTCTTACTAATAACCTATAGTTCACATTCTCCTCTGTTGTAGCTGAGATCATTTTATTTGAGTTCGGCAGATTCAAAAAAATTATGTTGGCGTGGCACTAATGTTAACTGACTGTTATCGAATCAGGATTTTCTTTTTGAAACGTTGCCAATAGCCTATACGTTTGTATGTAGGTGATTGTATGTATTTGTTATTGCTTGAATGCGTTTGTCTGTGGTTGTTAGTGCTTGTGTATATTTGTGTGTATTTGTTAGTGCTTGTGTGTTTGTTAGTGCTTGTATGTGTTTCTTATTGCTTGTATGTGTTTGTCTGTGTTAGTGCTTGTATGTTTGTGTGTATTTGTTAGTCATTGTATATGTTTGTGTGTATTTGTTAGTCATTGTATATGTTTGTGTGTATTTCTTCGTGCTTATGTGTGTGATGTATGAATCATAACATATATTATATATTACAACAAAGTGCTGATACTGTCAGGGGTTTAACTACCTCTTGTATTGAGTCACTCGCGGTTCTTGTGAGAGGTAGAGATGAATTGTTTTTAACATCGCCTTGATTTTTAAAAGTAATTCTGATTTCGGGAAATATTTTTTCTTTTAATCGCTAAAGCAACATGTCTATATTACTGACTGACACATTGTTTGTTTTTGTAGCACCTAATTCAACTTGAAATGTCACATAATATTCGGGGTTTGTCATCTTTCGTGAGTTATTGAATATTAACTGGGGTATAACAAACAGAATGCAACATTTGTATGTACATAATTATATCGTCAACTAGAAATAACACACTAATCATTATTTGTTATATAAGTGTATCAAACAACCGTTAAAGCAAACGTTTCATTAAAAAACAATAAACAGAACCTAGTTTAATCTAACCACACAAAAAAACTTCGCTCAGTAAGGCCATGGTTAAAAGACTACCCTGTTGATCCGTAACCTTTAATGATCAAAAGAGTTTTCTTTCTTATTTTTATCCCTTAGTGTTTAAATTAACTTTTTTCTGATCTCGACACGTTGATCCAAAAATTTCATTTAGTAATCTTGGGATATGATCAAATAAACCGGGAGTGATCTCCCCTAAACATTCTCGAATATTCTTATATAAGACTATGGGGGATGGCAACTCGGGAAATAATTTTAAATCCATTTTTAATTACTTAAACTTTATAAAATAGAACAGAATCTCGTAGAAAAAAAAGAATCGCGCACCAAGTGAATGGCAAACAATAAGTGTATAATAGTGCGGAATATTATTAGTACTTTATAGATTCATATGCGTTTTTTTTTAATAAATTGGAAAGAGGGTAAATTACTACTTTCGGTCAACGGAAATTATTCATTATTTGAAAGAAGGCAGAAATTTCGTTTATCTATCTGAAACAGTATTCAAGTTATGGGCTTTTGAAAAAACTAAAAGTAGAATAAGTTCCACCTCCGATTAACGGAAATCGCTGAAAAGTTCATACAGAACCACACATTTGTTTGTATCACAGACACATACACACACGTATATACACAGACTTACGGACAAAATTGCAAAACTGTGTATGTAAAACGTCGATTATTTGAACGATTACAATACTTCCTCTATACTTCGTATACGAGAAAGTAAAAATTCATTTCTTATAAATTTCTAATATAAATGTTGTTTTATTCCTTGAGCAGAAGATGACCTACAGGGCGTGTCTTGTGGCTGTCCTGACAATACTGGCAGCAGTGGACGTTAGGTGCCGTCCACAGAAAGGTAATACAGCGGACAGTGTGAAGTCATGTTATACTAAAGTAGTGGAGACTAGGACGTCAAGTTATATTGTTGAGTGTATCAAAACGAATTAAAGCAGTATTTTCAGCAGACAGTATGAGAATAGCCACCGAACATACAGCACATATCGAACAAACAATAAACCAAATACACAATCTTCCCCCACACCACACACACCTACTTACTGGACTCCCAATAGAAAAATCTTTAATTATATATATATATATATATATATATATATATATATATATATTGGCCTATATATTATTTATGTATTTATATATTGATTTATATAAAGATTTTGTGTGTGCGTTTGTGTGTGTGTGTGTGTGCGTTTGTACGTGTGTGTGTGTGATGGTGTGTGTGTGTGTGAATTGAACACACAAACATATAGTCATCGTGTCCGAAGATTCACTAGACCATAACCCGTGTCCTCAGCTGAGATCAGGTTGAGAAACCTAGCGCGGACGTCCGATCTGATCGAGCTTCAGTGCTCTATCGAGGGCAAGATTGATGACTTTAGACGTGCCATGGGTTTAACACTGTTTAAAGTCGGGAGTCTAGAGGACCTGGCCTATGCCTACCCAAACAGTGAGGCAGAAGGACCCAACAACAGGTTTCGTTTTACATTTTAGCACAACCTAAATATACCAACACACACACACACACACACACACACACACACACACACACACACACACACACACACACACACATACATATATATATATATATATATATATATATATATATATATATATATATATATATATATATATATATATATATATATATATGTATATATATTTTTTTTTCTTCTAGAGGCTTAATCTACATTAGGGATAGCCTTAAAATATTGCCTGGTTTTGTTTTTGTAAACATAATCCTTTGTTAACAGGACCAGTGTGAAAGGTCAACTCAGTGGAACTAGCGGTTACCTGTCAGTATTAATTGCAGAGGTGAATGACCTTGTGTACACTATGTAATTCATACATCACCACATACACAATGTAATTCATCATCACCACATACACAATGTAATTCATACATCACCACATACACAATGTAATTCATCATCACCACATACACTATGTGATTCATACATCACCACATACACTATGTAATTCATCATCACCACATACACTATGTAATTCATCATCACCACATACACTATGTAATTCATACATCACCACATACACTATGCAATTCATACATCACCACATACACAATGTAATTCATGCATCACCACATACACTATGCAATTCATACATCACCACATACACAATGTAATTCATACATCACAACATACACTATGTAATTCATACATCACCACATACACAATGTAATTCATACATCACCATATACACAATGTAATTCATACATCACCACATACACAATGTAATTCATACATCACCATATACACTATGTAATCCATACATCAATTTTCATGACCTACGTCAGTTACGCATCTGACCACGCCGCCCCAACCTAGAATACGTTAATGCTAATTAACTTTTGTGAAATATTGTATTTGTGACATATTGTATTTGTGACATATTGTATTTGTGACATATTGTATTTGTGACATATTGTATTTGTGACATATTGTATTTGTGACATATTGTATTTGTGACATATTGTATTTGTGACATATTGTATTTGTGACATATTGTATTTGTGACATTTTATATTTGTGACATATTGTATTTGTGACATATTGTATTTGTGACATATTGTATTTGTGACATATTGTATTTGTGACATATTATATTTGTGACATATTGTATTTGTGACATATTGTATTTTGTGACAGATTGTATCGTGACATTGTATTTGTGACATATTGTATCGTGACATTGTATTTGTGACATATTGTATTGTGACATATTGTATTTGTGACATATTATACTTGTGACCTATTGTATTTGTGACATATTGTATTTGTGACATATTGCATTTGTGACATATTGTATTAGTGACATATTGTATTTGTGACATATTGTATTTGTGACATATTATATTTGTGACCTATTGTATTTGTGACATATTGTATTGTGACCTATTGTATTTGTGACATATTATACTTGTGACCTATTGTATTTGTGACATATTGTATTTGTGACATATTGTATTTGTGACATATTGTATTTGTGACATATTGTATTTGTGACATATTGTATTTGTGACATATTGTATTTGTGACATATTGTATTTGTGACATATTGTATTTGTGACATATTGTATTTGTGACATATTGTATTTGTGACATATTGTATTTGTGACATTTTATATTTGTGACATATTGTATTTGTGACATATTATATTTGTGACCTATTGTATTTGTGACATATTGTATTTTGTGACAGATTGTATCGTGACATTGTATTTGTGACATATTGTATTTGTGACATATTGTATTTGTGACATATTGTATTTGTGACACATTGTATTTGTGACATATTGTATTTGTGACATATTGTATTTGTGACAATATTGTGACATACTTCCACCCATACATACACAGATAGATGAGGAAGACGAGGGCGAATACACCTGTATCTTTGAATACAAGGACAGATCAAACAAGGCGCAAGAGTTGAATTCAACAATCAACATCACTTGTGAGTTCGTTTGACAATAGGGCACTATTTTAGCAACTCAGTGCACTATTTTAACAACCCGTGTCAGTGCACTATTTTAACAACTCAGTGCACTATTTTAACAACATAGTGCACTTTTTAAATAACTCAGTGCACTATTTTAATAACTCAGTGCACTATTTTAATAACTCAGTGCAGAATTTTAATAACTCAGTGCAATATTTTAAGAACTCAGTGCGCTATTTTAACAACACGTGCCAGTGCACCATTTTAACAACTCAGTGCACTATTTTAACAACATTCCAATCGCTTGTGCCAACCACTTTTGCTGATGTTAAAAATCATTTATCCACATTTAAACAGCACGTACACTGTTAAAAACATAATTTTAAACAATGTTCCTGCTTAGTTTTCGACAAATTATGTTAACATTTAATGAAAATCAGGGACCAGTTTATAAAACTGATAACAATTTGTACAACAAAAGTATTTATTAACTTTTATGTGCTAATCCTTCAACATTTTAGATGAACCTACAATGGCTGCTGTTACTGCATTCAACTCATGTGACTGTGATGCTTTTCAAGATGCTATTACCATCATACGAGGTAACAACCTGCTAGTAGTTGAATTAATTTGATCATTAGACTCACCTTTGCTATAAGAATAACTTTTTTTTATCATTACTTTTTTTGTCATGGGAATGCTAAACGTACACGACCTTATAACTCACACCTCCGTTATCAGACGTTCCTTTGCTACTAACCAATCAAAACATGTACACAACAGACATTTGTATATAGATCTAGAAACCTAAAAATTAATTTCTAAAATCTTTTTACTTCAAGGAGAGATTAACGGTCTAACAGAGAAAAATAAACAACTAACCTCAAGGATCGAACGACTTGGTAAGTTTGTTAACATGGACTTGAATGTAAAAACTTACACCTACACCTACACCTACACCTACACCTACACCTACACCTACACCTACACCTACACCTACACCTACACCTACACCTACACCTACACCTACACCTACACCTACACCTACACCTACACCTACACCTACACTGTTAATACTGTGATATTATGTGTCTGGGATTTTGAGTTCGGAAGGTCACTTGTCCTGATGTCATTTGAATCATCACCCTCTCTCTCTCTCTTTATATACATATATATATATATATATATATATATATATATATATATATATATATATATTGTATATATATTTATATATATAAATATAAATAAAAAAAAATAAATAAAATATAAATATGAATATAAATAAAAAAATAAATATATATATATATATATATATATATATATATATATATATATATATATATATATATATATATATATATATATATATATATATATATATATTCGTTCATTGTATATGAGAAAATAATATAATTGTACAATAAAATAAATAATCCAGACTTTCATTGGTCAGAGAAACTGGGTTTTTCTATTTTCTCATTAACGTTAAGATATCATTTCTATACAGCAGCATTAAAAAAACTTTTTGTCTCCAACGAACATCTTTATATCAAACTTAACTTCCATTTATATAGCCCGATGTCAATGAATGTGCCACCCCCAACATTAATGTTTTAACTCATCACCTTTGTTGTATCTGTATAGAATCTAAAGGTCCTACTGTCCATGTGGGTACCGGACTGGAAACTATTGATGGTGAGGTCATATTTTAATGTTTTTAATCACACACAGACTCACAAACAAACAGACGCACACTAAAATATATATTGATGTCTAAAAAAATCAATATTTATCGTTTTCAAACTAAATTTTCATTTTACCTTATCATTTTAATTGACGTAATGTGCAAAGAACAAAATCAAACTAAATTATTGACCTTCACAGAAATTATAATTTTGTTTGAAAAAAATGATACAATTTACGTGCCTTTGCACCTATTACTTCCCTTGATAGATTGCACCACTAAGACAAGCCCATCTCCCATCACCACCACTAAGACACGCCCATCTCCCATCACCACCACTAAGACACGCCCATCTCCCATCACCACCTCTAAGACACGCCCATCTCCCATCACCACCACTAAGACACGCCCATCTCCCATCACCACCACTAAGACACGCCCATCTCCCATCACCACCTATAAGACACGCCCATCTCACATCACACACACCACTAAGACACGCCTTATGTCACAGACACCTGCCGTGTGTCGTTCACCGCCCGCTTTGAGACGAGAAAAGGTTACGTCATCTTGGGTGAGCAGACGGCTCAGTTCGACTCTGTCGTCAGCAACAAGGGCGACGCCTACGACACAACCACCGGCACCTTCACAGCTCCATGCAACGGCCAGGTACTGTCACATTTTAACTCAATGTATGTTGTCTTCCACCGTACTCAATGTATGGTGTCTTCCACCGTACTCAATGTACGGTGTCTTCCACCGTACTCAATGTATAGTGTCTTCCACCGTACTCAATGTATGGTGTCTTCCACCGTACTCAATGTATGGTGTCTTCCACCGTACTCAATGTATGGTGTCTTCCACCGTACTCAATGTATGGTGTCTTCCACCGTACTCAATGTATAGTGTCTTCCACCGTACTCAATGTATGGTGTCTTCCACCGTACTCAATGTATAGTGTCTTCCACCGTTCTCAAGTACTCAATGTATGGTGTCTTCCACCGTACTCAAGTACTCAATATATGGATTATGTAACCTTAGCCTTTATAATTTATATCATTTATTTCAGCAACGGATTCTTCTATCACCTTCTTGTCTCGTTACGAGCGACATTTAGCAATTATATATTACACTCATCTGCCTACACATTTTCTTTAACACTCTGTTCATAATAGCGTCTCCGATGACAATACAATAATTATTAAATTTCCACATATTCGAATACTAAGTTATAAATCCAATAACAAAGTTTGGAGAGGGCTTTCAAAATTTATGTGGGTCGCTTTAAAATAACCTTTTGGAACCAGGCGGGCCATGGGACAAGAGAGGTGCGGAGTTCACCTTGGCATGTGTAGAGATAGTGTGGTCAGCACTAAGCCCATTCGGCTTAACTCTAACAACAGTTTGGTACCCATTAGAGCTGGATGGACTCAGGGACGTTTTACTGCCTGGAATCCAGATTCAAACACGAGACTTTCTATTTAGCAGTCCATATAGATTTTTTAACCGTGTTTTGTTTTAGTGGAACATTGTTACAGTTCTCAACTTCGTCTATCTGACCATGTTTTGTTTTAGTAGAGCATTGTTACAGTTATTAACCTCGTCTACCTGACCATGTTTTGTTTTAGTTGAACATTGTTACAGTTATTAACCTCGTCTATCTGACAGTATTTCTTCAGTGTGACACTCCGCTCACACCAAGATTTAGACAGCGGCTACGTTGATGGTGTCATTCAGGTGGATGGCGTGGAGAAGGTGAGCTATTACCTAATGCAACCACACTCAAGGCCGATAACCTTGAGATTAGTACATCGTGTATAACATGTTCGGTTATACTTGAACTATTTTTTCAAATTGTTGAAAAGTTGTTTTGGAATCTGATACATTTGTTTATAACTGATATAGTTTTAAAACGCTGATAAGTAGGTTACAAAAGTCTCGTTCTTTTACATGCTAGTTGGTATATTTCAAACCAAATCTCAATATTAATGATTAAATATTAAATTAAATCGTTAATAAAGAAATAAATAAAACAAGTTATTAAAAAGTCTAGTGACAATTTAAACGCAATTTCCTTATGTTATCTAAAAATAGCTCTGTCGTAAAGTAATTATAATTTTAAAACATCTATCCAGGGCTATCAGGAACTACATTCGGCCACAATTTTTTTTTTAAAACCGTGACAACTAAACACCCCCTACACGTCCGCATTATTTAAAATTACATTATACATAATTTTATAATCCCTATTAACATTTTAATCAACCAACTACATTCACTCTACATCAACTACATTCACTCTACATCAACTACATTCACTCTACATCAACTACATTCACTCTACATCAACTACATTCACTCTACATCAACTACATTCAGTCTACATCAACTACATTCCCTCTACATCAACTACATTCACTCTACATTCACTCTACATCAACTACATTCACTCTACATCAACTACATTCACTCTACATCAACTACATTCACTCTACATCAACTACATTCACTCTACATCAACTACATTCACTCTACATCAACTACATTTACTCTACATCAACTACATTCAGTACACATCAACTACATTCACTCTACATCAACTACATGCACTCTACATCAACTACATTCACTCTACATCAACTACATTCACTCTAAATCAACTACATTCAGTCTACATCAACTACATTCACTCTACATCAACTACATTCACTCTACATCAACTACATTCACTCTTCATCAACTACATGCACTCTACATCAACTACATTCACTCTACATCAACTACATTCACTCTACATCAACTACATTCACTCTAAATCAACTACATTCAGTCTACATCAACTACATTCACTCTACATCAACTACATTCACTCTACATCAACTACATGCACTCTACATTAACTACATTCACTCTACATCAACTACATTCACTCTACATCAACTACATTCACTCTACATCAACTACATTCACTCTACATCAACTACATTCACTCTACATCAACTACATTCACTCTACATCAACTACATTCACTCTACATCAACTACATTCAGTCTACATCAACTACATTCAGTCTACATCAACTACATTCTGACTACATCAACTACATTCACTCTACATCAACTACATTCAGTCTCTAACTTTCAGGCCCGTACCTCAGTCTACATCAACGCCCCCATAGAGAACTACCAAAGCGCCACCAACGGGGTGGTCCTGACACTGGAGAAAGGTCAGAAGGTCAACGTGCTGATCAAGACAACCAGCAGTGGCGAGTTTGTTGGCGAGGGCTACTCTACCTTCTCTGGTTTCTACATCTCGCCCTAATCTCGTCACCCCGAGAGTTGCCCGAGAACACAACCCAGCAACAAAACGAGCACTGGCTAAATTGTCGCAACCCTCCAGAAACGTCAAAAGCTTACCCAAGTGATTATAACACGTATTTAACGTCATTACGTTACACATTTGCCTCGCTCTGGGAGACAGGACCGGCAACAATAATAGAAATAGACAATGAGTGATGATTTAATTTCTTTATTTTGATGTGAATTGTGTTTTGTCATAAATATTATTTAGCACATTTATAATCTCATTTATATAATTTCAACTTCAATATATTTCGCTTCGTTTATATCATACTCCAGATTTTCAATCGCTTATGTCTGTTTACTAGCGCGCTGTTACATTGTCTCGTTGAATAGAATAAACAGTGAAAAAACACACAGGAGCATCAAACTTGTATGGTTTGAAATTAAAGATGCGTAGGTTAATTAAGCTTTCGCCTTAACAAGCTACACAACCGCCTCCCTGAACGAGATTCCCCACTGAGATTACTTCATGTTGGTCTCTCAGCTACATGAAAACTACTTGGTCTATCTATGAAGCTATTTATTTCTTGCCCACTGAGATTAGCTCATGTTAGTCTCTCAGATACATGAAAACTACTTGGTCTATCTATGAAGCTATTTATTTCTTGCCCTCTGAGATTAGTTCATGTTAGTCTCTCAGATACATGAAAACTACTTGGTCTATCTATGAAGCTATTTCTTTCTTGCCCTCTGAGATTAGTTCATGTTGGTCTCTCAGCTACATGAAAACTACTTGGTCTATCTATGAAGCTATTTCTTTCTTGCCCTCTGAGATTACTTCATGTTGGTCTCTCAGCTACATAAAAACTACTTGGTCTATGTATGAAGCTATTTCTTTCTTGCTGATATAAAAACTATGTCCTTGAATGCCTGTACGAACATAGTGATGAAATACGATGTTATTGTTGTGTACAAATAGGACATACGTGGCTCACTTGCTCGAAAACTTGTGTCCAGATGTAGTCCTCGTTGTAAGAATGAATTCCTTGTCCCGTTAATCTTTCATAATGTGTGGAGTGATGGATCTGAATCTGTATGCCTACATCTGCAGCACTTGTGTGATGGATCTTAATATGTGCAGATATTGCACTAATGTGATGTACCAAACTATGTGCAGATATTGCACGTGTGTGATGTACCAAACTATGTGCAGATATTGCACGTGTGTGATGTACCAAACTATGTGCAGATATTGCACGTGTGTGATGTACCAAACTATGTGCAGATATTGCACGTGTGTGATGTACCAAACTATGTGCAGATACTGCACGTGTGTGATGTACCAAACTATGTGCAGATATTGCACGTGTGTGATGACGTTACCTACGATGACATGGAATAAAGTTGGGACCCTGCTATGGATAACCCGATGACGAGGGCATATCCAAGATGACTGGATACAGGGAAACTGCTCTTGATGACTGGAGCTCGTACAGGGAGCTCCTCCGTTCGTTGTGGAATATCCGTTTTGTCTCTATCCCTGATCGCTGGTCTATTTTCTCGCGGAACCTGGAACAAATATCAGCTCATCTAGACACTTTTTCAGCTCATCTAGACACTATTTTAGCTCATCTAGACACTTTTTCAGCTCATCTAGACACCATTTCAGCTCATCTAGACACCATTTTAGCTCATCTAGAAACAATTTTAGCTCATCTAGACACTATTTTAGCTCATCTTGACACAATTTCAGCTCATCTAGACACTATTTCAGCTCATCTAGACACAATTTTAGCTGATCTAGACACAATTTTAGCTCATCTAGACACTATTTTAGCTCATCTAGACACTATTTCAGCTGATCTAGACACTATTTCAGCTCATCTAGACACTATTTCAGCTCATCTAGACACAATTTCAGCTCATCTAGACACAATTTTAGCTCATCTAGACACTATTTTAGCTCATATAGACACAATTTTAGCTCATCTAGACACTATTTTAGCTCATCTTGACACCATTTCAGCTCATCTAGACACAATTTCAGCTCATCTAGACACAATTTCAGCTGATCTAGACACTATTTTAGCTCATCTAGACACAATTTCAGCTCATCTAGACACTATTTCAGCTGATCTAGACACAATTTCAGCTCATCTAGACACAATTTCAGCTCATCTAGACACTATTTCAGCTGATCTAGACACAATTTCAGCTCATCTAGACACAATTTTAGCTCATCTAGATACAATTTTAGCTCATCTAGACACTATTTCAGCTCATCTAGACACTATTTCAGCTGATCTAGACCCAATTTCAGCTGATCTAGACCCAATTTCAGCTGATCTAGACACAATTTCAGCTCATCTTGACACAATTTCAGCTCATCTAGACACAATTTCAGCTCATCTTGACACAATTTCAGCTGATTTAGACCCAATTTCAGCTGATCTAGACCCAATTTCAGCTGATCTAGACACAATTTCAGCTCATCTAGACACAATTTCAGCTCATCTAGACACTATTTCAGCTGATCTAGACACTATTTCAGCTCATCTAGACACTATTTCAGCTCATCTAGACACAATTTTAGCTCATCTAGACACCATTTCAGCTCATCTAGACACAATTTTAGCTCATCTAGACACTATTTTAGCTCATCTAGACACAATTTTAGCTCATCTAGACACTATTTTAGCTCACCTTGACACCATTTCAGCTCATCTAGACACAATTTCAGCTCATCTAGACACTATTTTAGCTCATCTAGACACAATTTCAGCTGATCTAGACACAATTTCAGCTCATCTAGACACAATTTCAGCTCATCTAGACACAATTTTAGCTGATCTAGACACAATTTCAGCTCATCTAGACACAATTTCAGCTGATCTAGACACTATTTCAGCTGATCTAGACACAATTTAATTTGATCTTGACAATTTAAGCAATGATAATTAAGTCTATATAACTTTTAAACGCCGATTGTTGTCATAGAAGGGAGGAGGGGGGGGGGAAAGAGTGGGGAAGGGGAGAGGTGATATCAGAACGTGTGTTGTAGAGGGAAGGGGAGAGGTGGTATCAGAACGTGTGTTGTAGAGGGGAGAGGTGGTATCAGAACGTGTGTTGTAGAGGGAAGGGGAGAGGTGGTATCAGAACGTGTGTTGTAGAGGGAAGGGGAGAGGTGGTATCAGAACGTGTGTTGTAGAGGGAAGGGGAGAGGTGGTATCAGAACGTGTGTTGTAGAGGGAAGGGGAGAGGTGATATCAGCACGTGTGTTGTAGAGGGAAGGGGAGAGGTGATATCAGAACGTGTGTTGTAGAGGGAAGGGGAGAGGTGGTATCAGAACGTGTGTTGTAGAGGGAAGGGGAGAGGTGGTATCAGAACGTGTGTTGTAGAGGGAAGGGGAGAGGTGGTATCAGCACGTGTGTTGTAGAGGGAAGGGGAGAGGTGATATCAGAACGTGTGTTGTAGAGGGAAGGGGAGAGGTGGTATCAGAACGTGTGTTGTAGAGGGGAGAGGTGGTATCAGAACGTGTGTTGTAGAGGGAAGGGGAGAGGTGGTATCAGAACGTGTGTTGTAGAGGGAAGGGGAGAGGTGGTATCAGAACGTGTGTTGTAGAGGGAAGGGGAGAGGTGGTATCAGAACGTGTGTTGTAGAGGGAAGGGGAGAGGTGATATCAGCACGTGTGTTGTAGAGGGAAGGGGAGAGGTGATATCAGAACGTGTGTTGTAGAGGGAAGGGGAGAGGTGGTATCAGAACGTGTGTTGTAGAGGGAAGGGGAGAGGTGGTATCAGAACGTGTGTTGTAGAGGGAAGGGGAGAGGTGGTATCAGAACGTGTGTTGTAGAGGGAAGGGGAGAGGTGATATCAGAACGTGTGTTGTAGAGGGAAGGGGAGAGGTGGTATCAGAACGTGTGTTGTAGAGGGAAGGGGAGAGGTGGTATCAGCACGTGTGTTGTAGAGGGAAGGGGAGAGGTGATATCAGAACGTGTGTTGTAGAGGGAAGGGGAGAGGTGGTATCAGAACGTGTGTTGTAGAGGGGAGAGGTGGTATCAGAACGTGTGTTGTAGAGGGAAGGGGAGAGGTGGTATCAGAACGTGTGTTGTAGAGGGGAGAGGTGGTATCAGCACGTGTGTTGTAGAGGGAAGGGGAGAGGTGGTATCAGAACGTGTGTTGTAGAGGGAAGGGGAGAGGTGGTATCAGAACGTGTGTTGTAGAGGGAAGGGGAGAGGTGATATCAGCACGTGTGTTGTAGAGGGAAGGGGAGAGGTGATATCAGCACGTGTGTTGTAGAGGGAAGGGGAGAGGTGGTATCAGAACGTGTGTTGTAGAGGGAAGGGGAGAGGTGATATCAGAACGTGTGTTGTAGAGGGAAGGGGAGAGGTGGTATCAGCACGTGTGTTGTAGAGGGAAGGGGAGAGGTGATATCAGAACGTGTGTTGTAGAGGGAAGGGGAGAGGTGATATCAGAACGTGTGTTGTAGAGGGAAGGGGAGAGGTGATATCAGCACGTGTGTTGTAGAGGGAAGGGGAGAGGTGATATCAGAACGTGTGTTGTAGAGGGAAGGGGAGAGGTGGTATCAGAACGTGTGTTGTAGAGGGAAGGGGAGAGGTGGTATCAGAACGTGTGTTGTAGAGGGAAGGGGAGAGGTGATATCAGAACGTGTGTTGTAGAGGGAAGGGGAGAGGTGATATCAGCACGTGTGTTGTAGAGGGAAGGGGAGAGGTGGTATCAGAACGTGTGTTGTAGAGGGAAGGGGAGAGGTGGTATCAGAACGTGTGTTGTAGAGGGAAGGGGAGAGGTGATATCAGAACGTGTGTTGTAGAGGGAAGGGGAGAGGTGGTATCAGAACGTGTGTTGTAGAGGGGAGAGGTGGTATCAGAACGTGTGTTGTAGAGGGAAGGGGAGAGGTGGTATCAGCACGTGTGTTGTAGAGGGAAGGGGAGAGGTGATATCAGAACGTGTGTTGTAGAGGGAAGGGGAGAGGTGGTATCAGAACGTGTGTTGTAGAGTATTTAGACATTAACAGAAGCATTTTGATGGTATTTGAAAATTAATAAAAAGTAGTAGTTTCCCTTTTAAACCTGGCGGTTTATGGGGCAAGTGAAGTGACCTCGGCAAATGAAGAGATAGTGTGGTCAGCACTATGCCCAGTCGCCTTTACTTTCCTTAACGTGAGTTAGGTACCCATCTGAGTTGGGTGGACCCAGGGACGGTTACTGACATGAACCCGGATTCGAACTCGAGACAGTCCCAGCTCTCTACCGATAGACCACTCCGTGCCATTGAAAATTAATAGCTTTTACAATAAACTAGCGTTCCCTTCGCAGCTTGCTAAGCTCTCAGAAGAAAGAAAAAATTCAATGGCAGTCGTCTGGGTGACAGTAAATTCACATAGTTCTCAGTAGTAACAAGATTGAGTTCAGTATTAACAAGAATTAAATGAGTTCAGTATTAACAAGAAATAAATGAGTTCAGTATTAACAAGAATTAAATGAGTTCAGTATTAACAAGAATTAAATGAGTTCAGTATTTACAAGCATTAAATGAGTTCAGTATTTACAAGCATTAAATGAGTTCAGTATTAACAAGAATTAAATGAGTTCAGTATTTACAAGCATTAAATGAGTTCAGTATTTACAAGTATTAAATGAGTTCAGTATTAACAAGAATTAAATGAGTTCAGTATTAACAAGTATTAAATGAGTTCAGTATTTACAAGTATTAAATGAGTTCAGTATTAACAAGAATTAAATGAGTTCAGTATTTACAAGTATTAAATGAGTTCAGTATTAACAAGAATTAAATGAGTTCAGTATTTACAAGAATTAAATGAGTTCAGTATTTACTAGAATGAAGTTTCGTGAAATAAATTACCCACTGTACACCAACTACAAACTATGATAGGAATGAAAGAAACCACATACAACAAAACAGACGACTTACCTCTCCAGGTATTTGTCATTAGGTAAGCAAGGACCCAATAGCTGCAGGTACAGTGAGTTGGCTCGCACTAATTCTCTGGAATCATCAACAACAACAAAATATTGTATCGGTTGCTATTGGTAACATATATTTACTTAGTTCAATTAACTTAATATTTTGCAGTGTATCTATCCTAATATATAAAAGCCCATGTGCGCACTTCTCTCTCTCTCTCTCTCTCTCTCTCTCTCTCTCTCTGTCTGTCCGCAAAATATTTTCGCCGGATATCACATCAGAATCTGCATCGATATATGAAGAACTTTATACGGACTTATGTTGAAAATAATATGTTAGATGTTTTAAATGTATAACCACAACTTTATTTAAATAAGAATTTTTTAAAAAAAAAGGCGTATCCGAATGTAGAAAAACAATTTTAATTATGCAACCGGAAACATTTTTATACTTGGGACAAGAACGCATTTAACAATAACGTCGCTTATTGTTTACACTATAAAAAAAAGAGCACGAAACTGATGACGCTATCTTCCGAGTTTACAATGAAATAAAGAAATGAACTATTTCATTCAAATATGATTTAGAGCTAGATTCTACGTACGCTATGAAATGTATACAATACGATTTTCTCGGCCTAAACTTTTTAAAGTTTTTACTTTACCTATTTAAATTCTAGATATAGATCTAGATCTCGATTCTAGATCTAGACTAGATCTACGGAAAAACTAGACGTAGACGCTAAGATCTGGATTTAGACTATCTACTAAAAACAACATAACTACCATTGAACAGCCGGGTTTTTAAAGAAATCTTTTAAGTCTCTTAATTTTAAGTCTCTTAATCAGCGAGTGCATTTAATATGGCATGGTTACCGATGAAGAAATGAACTATTTCATTTAAATCTATAGATCTCTTCATAAAAAAACCTAATAAAAATAAATCACTATAAAAAAAAGAAGAATACCGTGGAATAGCCGAGTTTTTAACGGAATCATTTAAGTCACTTAATCAGCGTGCCTGTGTTATGTTGAATGTATCTGATTTTTAGCTAATTGTTATTTCTTTGCTTTGTCAGTAATATCGTTCAGCGTGTAGTAATGCACATTGCGTTTTGACCAATAACTATTTTATAAATTATTTTTCTCAAACTAAGTTCAACATTTTAAAATATATAGGCCTATAATTCACGTGAAACTGTTACAGATGGCAAGTCTATATATAAATACACACACACACTTTCCCGAGTTTGAAACTGCATTGGCACCTGCACCTGACCTACACCTACACCTGCAACTACACCTACACCTACACCCACACCCACACCTACACCTACACCTACACCTACACCTACACCTACACCTAAACCTAAACCTAAACCTAAACCTACACCTACACCTACACCTGACCTACACCTAAACCTACACATACACCTACACCTACACCTACGCCTACTCATACACCTACATCTAAAAGCAAAAATTCAACTTCAACTAACAATATTAAACAATACAGTTTGTAAGACTCACTTGAATTCACCTTTTTCAATCTGACCGTTCTCGTCGATATCGGAAATCTTGAGCACCAACTCAATCAGCTCTCTTGTAGATTCCTCATGATCTTCATCCAGGTCTGTGGCTATTGTACACGGCTGTAGGGGAAGGAATGTTCAAATTATGTAGCTATCGTACACGGCTGTAGGGAAAGGAATGTTCAAATTATGTGGCTATCGTACACGGCTGTAGGGTAACGAATGTTCAAATTATGTAGCTATCGTACACGGCTGTAGGGAAAGGAATGTTCAAATTATGTAGCTATCGTACACGGCTGTAGGGTAACGAATGTTCAAATTATGTAGCTATCGTACTCGGCTGTAGGGTAACGAATGTTCAAATTATGTAGCTATCGTACACGGCTGTAGGGGAAGGAATGTTCAAATTATGTAGCTATCGTACACGGCTGTAGGGTAACGAATGTTCAAATTATGTAGCTATCGTACACGGTCATAGGGAAAGGAATGTTCAAATTATGTGGCTATCGTACACGGCTATAGGAAAAGGAATGTTTAAATTATGTAGCTATCGTACACGGCTTCAGGGAAATGAATGTTCAAATTATGTAGCTATCGTACACGGCTGTAGGGGAAGGAATGTTCAAATTATGTAGCTATCGTACACGGCTGTAGGGTAACGAATGTTCAAATTATGTAGCTATCGTACACGGCTGTAGGGGAAGGAATGTTCAAATTATGTAGCTATCGTACACGGCTGTAGGGGAAGGAATGTTCAAATTATGTAGCTATCGTACACGGCTATAGGGGAACGAATGTAAATTGTCTTAGTACAACTTCTTTGGCTATCATACATGCGTGTAACATGAGTATTGTCAGCAGCACTACACTGTAGCCTACTGTGATAAAAGAAATAAGATACCTTTATAAAAAAGTAGAGTTCGGAGAACGACAAGGTCCCATCTCTATTGATGTCATACACGGAAAAGACAAAGTCCATCTTTTTCTCAATATCGTCACACAGGAATGTGCATATCAACTTACAAAACTGTTCTACGGTTGCATAGGTGGCCTTTGGGTATTTGATTGCTGAAATGTTGGAGGTCATGTCGTCACATAGTGTCACAGGTGTTGTGAAACCACACCAATAAATAAGACAAAACACAATAGAACTCACCGCATAAGACAAAACACAATAGAACTCACCACATAAGACAAAACACAATAGAACTCACCACATAAGACTAAACACAACATCTTCGACAACATCAAACACATGAGACTAAACACAACATCACCGACAACATCAAACACATAAGACTAAACACAACATCATCGACAACATCAAACACAAAAAACCAAACACAACATAATCGACAACATCAAACACTTAGGACCAAACATAACATAGTCGACAACATCAAACACATAAGACTACACACAACATAACTGACCACACAAAAACCATTGGACCAAATTGTACCGACGATAACACATGATCTGACCTTCAAACATTAACGGCAGGAGTGTTGGCGATGTTATATTGAACTGTTTCGACATCTGGGCTATAAAGATCAGGTCGTCTATCTCATCTCCCGAGCCGGGTCTAGCCAGGCACTTAGCATAAGCCAAGACATTCTCAACCACGGCATCACTCAGTCCTGTCAGAGACAAGTTCTTTCTGTCAGTGACAAGTTCTTTCTGTCAGAGACAAGTTCTTTCTGTCAGAGACAAGTTCTTTCTGTCAGTGACAAGTTCTTTCTGCCAGAGACAAGTTCTTTCTGTCAGAGACAAGAGTTCTTTCTGTCAGAGACAAGTTCTTTCTGCCAGAGACAAGTTCTTTCTGTCAGAGACAAGAGTTCTTTCTGTCAGTGACAAGTTCATGCTACTTTACTTCTCATTATTAGACCTTTGCTTCAGTTGAAATTATATGTGTGGTCTAATTTCTGTTTAAACCTCATCTTGTACATTTTTTTTTTGTTAAATTATGTCTGGTCAAGTTTCTTTTAAAATTATGTCTCGTTAAGTTTATGTTGAATTTCTGTTAAAATTATGTAAATCTTACTACCTGTCGAATAAATCTTACCACCTGTCGAATAAATCTTACCACCTGTAGAATAAATCTTACCAACTGTTAGCAGGTAAATCTTACCACTGTGGGGTAAATCTTACCACCTGTAGAATAAATCTTACCACGTGTCAGCAGTTAAATCTTACCACCTGTCGGGTAAATCTTACCACTTGTCGAATAAATCTTACCACCTGTAGAATAAATCTTACCACCTGTCAGCAGGTAAATCTTACCACCTGTCAGCAGGTAAATCTTACCACGTGTCGGGTAAATCTTACCACCTGTCAGCAGGTAAATCTTACCACCTGTCGGGTAAATCTTACCACCTGTCGGGTAAATCTTACCACCTGTCAGTAGGTAAATATTACCACCTGTCAAATAAATCTTACCACCTGTCTGGTAAATCTTACCACCTGTCAGCAGGTAAATCTTACCACCTGTCGGGTAAATCTTACCACCTGTCAGGTAAATCTTACCACCTGTCAGCAGGTAAATCTTACCACCTGTCGGGTAAATCTTACGACCGTACCTGAGAATCTCTGGAGGTCATGGTGCAGCTTGGATGCCTGTTTTTGTAGCTGTTTAAATGTTATTGCCATTTGGATGTTTTATACGTGTGGTGCTGAAATACAGAAATATATACCTTGGATGTTTTATACGTGAGGTGCTGAATACAGAAATATATACCTTGGATGTTTTATACGTGAGGTGCTGAAATACAGAAATATATACCTTGGATGTTTTATAAGTATTGCTGAAATGCAAGAATATATACTTAGGATGTTTTATAAGTATTGCTGAAATGCACGAATATATACTTAGGATGTTTTATAAGTATTGCTGAAATGTACGAATATATACCTTGGATGTTTTATAAGTACTGCTGAAATGCACAAATATATACCTTGGATGTTTTATAAGTATTGCTGAAATGCAAGAATATATACTTAGGATGTTTTAAAAGTATTGCTGAAATGCACGAATATATACTTTGGATGTTTTATAAGTATTGCTGAAATGCAAAAATATATACCTTGGATGTTTTATAAGCATTGCTGAAATGCACGAATATATACCTTGGATGTTTTAAAAGTATTGCTGAAATGCAAGAATATATACCTTGGATGTTTTATAAGTATTGCTGGAATGCACGAATATATACCTTGGATGTTTTATAAGCATTGCTGAAATGCACGAATATATACGTTGGATGTTTTATAAGTATTGCTGAAATGCACGAATATATACCTTGGATGTTTTATAAGTATTGCTGAAGTGCACGAATATATACCTTGGATGTTTTATAAGTATTGCTGAAATGCACGAATATATACCTTGGATGTTTTATGAGTATTGCTGAAATGCACGAATATATACCTTGGATGTTTTATAAGTATTGCTGTAATGCACGAATATATACCTTGGATGTTTTATAAGCATTGCTGAAATGCACGAATATATACGTTGGATGTTTTATAAGTATTGCTGAAATGCACGAATATATACCTTGGATGTTTTATAAGTATTGCTGAAGTGCACGAATATATACCTTGGATGTTTTATAAGTATTGCTGAAATGCACGAATATATACCTTGGATGTTTTATAAGTATTGCTGAAGTGCACGAATATATACCTTGGATGTTTTATGAGTATTGCTGAAATGCACGAATATATACCTTGGATGTTTTATAAGTATTGCTGTAATGCACGAATATATACCTTGGATGTTTTATAAGCATTGCTGAAATGCACGAATATATACGTTGGATGTTTTATAAGTATTGCTGAAATGCACGAATATATACCTTGGATGTTTTATAAGTATTGCTGAAGTGCACGAATATATACCTTGGATGTTTTATAAGTATTGCTGAAATGCACGAATATATACCTTGGATGTTTTATGAGTATTGCTGAAATGCACGAATATATACCTTGGATGTTTTATAAGCATTGCTGAAATGCACGAATATATACCTTGGATGTTTTATAAGTATTGCTGAAATGCACGAGTATATACCTTGGATGTTTTATAAGTATTGCTGAAATGCACGAATCGAATATATACCTTGGATGTTTTATAAGTATTGCTGAAATGCAAGAATATATACCTTGGATGTTTTATAAGTATGGCTGAAATGCACGAATATATACCTTGGATGTTTTATAAGCATTGCTGAAATGCACGAATCGAATATATACCTTGGATGTTTTATAAGTATTGCTGAAATGCAAGAATATATACCTTGGATGTTTTATAAGTATGGCTGAAATGCACGAATATATACCTTGGATGTTTTATGAGTATTGCTGAAATGCAAGAATATATACCTTGGATGTTTTATAAGCATTGCTGAAATGCACGAATATATACCTTGGATGTTTTATAAGTATTGCTGAAATGCACGAATATATACCTTGGATGTTTTATAAGCATTGCTGAAATGCACGAATATATACCTTGGATGTTTTATAAGCATTGCTGAAATGCACGAATATATACCTTGGATGTTTTATAAGCATTGCTGAAATGTACGAATATATACCTTGGATGTTTTATACGTATTGCTGAAATACACGAATATATAGCCTGTATATATTTTAGATGTAATACATGAAAAGCCTGGAAATATTATAAGTATTGCTGCAATACAGGAATGTATAGCCTAAATATATTATAAGTGTAGTAATAGAATGCATGAATATATAGCCTGGATATATTATTAAAAGTGTACTGTTGAAATCAACAGATAAATAGCCTGGAAGTGTAATATTTTATAACTGTAGTGTTTTAGTGAGACCATTTTATTATTGACTTAAAAAAAACGGCTATTTATTTTTCTGAAAATCACACTTTTAGTCATTCTTATTTGAACTCAAATCTTTATTACAGCCAAACGAAATTCACACAATCAAGAGTATATAGAATCTAGATCTAGCCTCCGTTCATTTAATAATATTAATGGACACCAGCGAGTTGACGAGATTCCTTCCGTAATATTGTTGACATGGAATAAAAATGTGCTTTTTTAGATTTAGGACCATAAAACTAATAAAAGATAAAATTTTATTAAAAACTTAAGCCTAATATTAATTCAGAAATGTAATATTTTTAGAATCAATGCTATCCAAGTTGCAGATCCAGAGAACTTGAAAATAATTTGTTGAGTTTAAGGCTACATTTCTATTTATTTTCATCAAGCCTAAGTTATAACCCGATGTTTTACTTTCGTAAGACAAACATTGATTGGCTGTAAAGGAACTCCGTGATCGATTTCTGACAGCCCCACTTGATAGTTATTTTGTTTACAAAACTTTGCAGATCAAGTTTTTAAATAACTATGCAAATTTAAACACCATGACCTATTTTTTCTATTTTTAGCTTACAATGTGTACAATAAAATTTATGTCGGCCATTGTTTATGTCGCCATTACACGTGAAAACCAAATTGTTTTTGCTTTTTTTTTAATTTTTATTTAGTTACCGAAAATATTAAAAACATCAAATACATCCAATCTTTAGCAAAGTCCGAAAAAAACCAGACAGACAGGATTTTATAACCATATTAATTGTAACTACGCCGTGCAAGATTTTCAAATGAATTTATACACCTCTCAAATACCTTTGAGACTTTTCTCGCTGGTGTCCATTACTAAAGTTTGAAAACACCGCTAATGATGTTTAAAATATTGAATAAAAGATTGGATACTATTAGCGATGCCGTGCATTAAACCTCGAAATGTGTTGATAAAAACATTTTTAGCCTCTCATTTCAAACAACGGCCTACCCGCTATATATTATCTATCGTATAAGTTACACAACAATCTATTCTACTTACGTCAGGTAAATATTTTTATGTTTAAAACGCCTGACATCGTGATGCGTCCGTTCACTTGATGCTTGTTCTAGTGCAGACGGCGATTCTGTGATTGGTGCATATACCGGCGCGTACTTTGGATCGCATTTTTACTTTCTCGTATACGAAGTATAAAATAAGTATTGTAATCGTGCAAAAATTAATTACACAATACAACCATGAAGCACCAAAAAGTGCCGACTATGAACGTGCAGAAAGCATAACCCTAGATGAGGACCTACTAAACAACATAATTACATGTTTATGACCACTCCTTAAAGATAATTCTGCTCTAATAGTTTTTAGATTTAAGGTATAGATCTAGAAAGCCTGTAACAAGACCTGCCAATTCAGGGCAGAAGTTTTGCTTATCATGTCGGATTAGCTAAATAGGAAATAGCATATTCTATAACATTTCTGCAAAATTACAGTTGAAGCTACACGAGTTTTTAAAAAGCTACTAACAAATATAAGAAATAATGTCACAATTAGTTAACACTTAACTGATTGAAAAAAAAAACTAAGGTTTTTTTTTCATTAATTTTTACAAATGTTCTATTCGACTGCTTTGATACTTACTTTATTAATTTATTCTCGGATTTAATTTTTTTTAAAAATATTTTAAATATATTTAACTTGCCACATACTTACTTACATATCTGATGATAGTTTTCTTCCATAATTATCATCACTATTCAATATCTTCGTGAATATCTTGCGAACACAACTGTGGTTTTAAGTTGTCATTACCTTTATCTAAATTATTGACAATATCAAATACAGTAAAAATTGACAAAAGTGATACACAATGCAAACAATAACGTTTGTAAAATCACATTCTTCAAATGGATGTTTACACATTTAGAAAAATACCTAAACACCATTAAGAATCCCCTCTCTTTGGGGTTATCGGATATCAGTCGGTTTCTATCATTTGCTTAAAAGGCACCATAAAATATATTTTGTAACCCATTTCTCAATAAAGAAGGTACCCTAAAATATATTTTGTAACCCGTTTCTCAACAAAGAAGGCACCCTAAAATATATTTTATAACCCATTCCTACACAAAGAATGTACACTAAAATATATTTTGTAACCCATTGCTCCACAAAGAAGGTACCCTAAAATATATTTAGTAACCCATTTCTCAACAAAGAAGGTACCCTAAAATTATATTTTGTAACCCATTGCTCAACATAGAAGGTACCCTAAAATATATTTTGTAACCCATTTCTCAACAAAGAAGGTACCCTAAAATATTTCCTGTTGCCATTTACTCCACAGCCCAACGAGTGTACCCTAAAATATTTCCTGTTGCTCCACAGTCCAACGAGTGTACCCTAAAATATTTCCTGTTGCTCCACAGTCCAACGAGTGTACCCTAAAATATTTCCTGTTGCCATTTACTCAACAGTCCAACGAGTGTACCCTAAAATATTTCCTGTTGCCATTTACACCACAGTCCAACGAGTGTACCCTAAAATATTTCATGTTGCCATTTACACCACAGTCAAAAGAGTCTACCCTAAAATATTTGCTGTTGCCATTTACTCCCAGTGTAGCCTAAAATATTTCCTGTTACCATTTACACCACAGTCCAACGAGTGTAGCCTAAAATATTTCCTGTTACCATTTACACCACAGTCCAACGAGTGTAGCCTAAAATATTTCCTGTTGCCATTTACACCACAGTCCAACGAGTGTACCCTAAAATATTTCCTGTTGCCATTTACACCACAGACCAACGAGTGTACCCTAAATTATTTCCTGTTGCCATTTACACCACAGTCCAACGAGTGTAGCCTAAAATATTTCCTGTTGCCATTTACTCCACAGTCCAACGAGTGTACCCTAAAATATTTCCTGTTGCCATTTACACCACAGACCAACGAGTGTACCCTAAAATATTTCCTGTTGCCATTTACACCACAGACCAACGAGTGTACCCTAAAATATTTCCTGTTGCCATTTACACCACAGTCCAACGAGTGTACCCTAAAAGTTTTCCTGTTGCCATTTACTCCACAGTCCAACGAGTGTACCCTAAAATATTTCCTGTTGCCATTTACACCACAGACCAACGAGTGTACCCTAAAATACTTCCTGTTGCCATTTACACCACAGTCCAACGAGTGTACCCTAAAATACTTCCTGTTGCCATTTACACCACAGTCCAACGAGTGTACCCTAAAATATTTCCTGTTGCCATTTACACCACAGTCCAACGAGTGTACCCTAAAATATTTCCTGTTGCCATTTACTCCACAGTCCAACGAGTGTAGCCTAAAATATTTCCTGTTACTCCACAGTCCAACGAGTGTACCCTAAAATATTTCCTGTTGCCATTTACTCAACAGTCCAACGAGTGTACCCTAAAATATTTCCTGTTGCCATTTACACCACAGTCCAACGAGTGAACCCTAAAATATTTCCTGTTGCCATTTACACCACAGTCCAACGAGTGTACCCTAAAATATTTCCTGTTGCCATTTACTCAACAGTCCAACGAGTGTACCCTAAAATATTTCCTGTTGCCATTTACACCACAGTCCAACGAGTGAACCCAAAAATATTTCCTGTTGCCATTTACACCACAGTCCAACGAGTGTACCCTAAAATATTTCCTGTTGCCATTTACACCACAGTCAAAAGAGTCTACCCTAAAATATTTCCTGTTGCCATTTACTCCCAGTGTAGCCTAAAATATTTCCTGTTGCCATTTACACCACAGTCCAACGAGTGTAGCCTAAAATATTTCCTGTTACCATTTACACCACAGTCCAACGAGTGTACCATCAACAGCAACATGGCCATTTCGTTTAATCAACTCCAGAAGCAAGCGCATAAGTTACAACAAGATTTAATGGATTATTCAGGTAATATACTGAAACAACCAACATGCGTATCTAAGTGAGAAAAGTTCATGTCTTTGTGACAAAGTTCATGTATCTGTGACAATATCTATGTGACAACGTCCATGTTTCTGTGACAATATCTATGTGACAACGTCCATGTCTCTGTGACAATATCTATGTGACAACGTCCATGTCTATGTGACAATATCTATGTGACAACGCCCAAGTCTCTGTGACAATACCTATGTGACAACTTCCAAGTCTCTGTGACAATATCTATGTGACAACGTCCATGTTTCTGTGACAATACCTATGTGACAACGCCCAAGTCTCTGTGACAATACCTATGTGACAACTTCCAAGTCTCTGTGACAATATCTATGTGACAACGTCCATGTTTCTGTGACAATACCTATGTGACAACGCCCAAGTCTCTGTGACAATATCTATATGACAACGTCTCTGA